GCCGGATTAATTGGGCAATTGCCCAGGGCCCACGAACTCTAAAGGGCCCAGGGCACGAGCAAAATACTGTATCTATAATTTCCCGCTTTATGAGGACTACGGTGACCGTACGTTCCGTTTTCCCCGGACATGTCCACTTTTCACTCTGTCCGGCGCGTCCGGACTGCTGGTTCTTGTATTGATGAAAATGTCCGGCTTTTCATCCAGGAGCAGGGATCGAATTATGGGGGAGCTGTATATCCTACACATCAGGGGAGCCGGAAAAAAGTTTTCTATATTATATCATTTATATCATTTTTGGACTCTTTTGAGCAGAGAGCGGCACAGCGCGTTGTTGCGCAGCGATCCAGGCAGCTGCTTCCAGCGCACGGTCCATTCTCAAAGTGGCGCAACCAAAAAACTACAATTAGCACACGATCGTTCATGTCCGCACATGTTCTCTATTTTCTGTCTTATTTGTGCCTGAAGCGCTCTGCTACTGCGGAGCTCATCACCTGTGCTGCGGTGATTTCACCTCACTGACGCATCGAAAACACGCTCTGCGCTTTGTGGTCAGGAGATCCCTTTGATCTGCTCAAAAGTAACTGATGAGGTGAAAAAGAAAGAATCCAGGCAGCAGTTTTTCTGGAGAATTAAGAGGAGATGCAGGAAGATGAGAGACAGACAGGACAGGAAATAGTTCAATAAAAACAACAAAACAAAACAAAGTGTTGAAAAGTAAAATGTAGATAGATTTATGTCCACTACACGTTTTTACCTGTATAAAACAATGTTACACACATGTAATATTTATAAATTTGATACTATTCAGGTCACCTTCAACACTCAGTCACACACCCAGGGCCATTTCAAGACATTTTGGGGGCCAAGGCAAAATGTTAGTTATACAGTGTTTATAAAAGCCCCTCAGGCCCCTCAGGCATTACTGACATGTTCTAATATTATCAGATGAAAAACTAAATTATCAGACATGCTGTCTCATGTGCTTCTTTTCTAAACTTGCAGAAAGTAACAAAACCATTTGAAAGCCACTATTTGTGGATTCTCTGAAAGTTTCCATGGAGTGTGTGACAACTTATTTTTTCAGTCATTTTTGGAAACAGTGATCAATTTTGATTAATTCACAGCCTATGTTTAATTACATTTAAAAATTTGTTGTTTGACATCCCCAGTTTTAATAAATGTCTACAGATGAGATCAAACAAAACAGATGAGAATTGCCCTTAAGCTGTTTAACTTGGACCAAGCATTTTAGGTCACAGATAGATGTAGCTTAGGGTCTCTGTCTATACACCTTATAAGACAATTTAGGTGATGGCATGTTGTTTTTCTGCTATTGAACTGTTTTCTAATAATGTTGTGTTAAATAAAGTGAAGGAAGGAGAGAAATAACGTTTCCCTAGCAGTTTTTAAAAATTTCCCCATGTAATCCGATTAATCGATTAATCGTGTCGAGACCCCATCCGATTAATCGATTATCCAAATAATCGTTTGTTGCAGCCCTACTCCTATAGAGGGTCACGAACTCATCCCGCTGACTTCTGTCCCATCATTCCTGCCACCAACGTGGCGGCTGACGTCATCACGCCGACACTACTTAAGGAAGTGCCGGCGTTTCATTCATTACTCAGTCATCCTGTCAGGTTCGTTGGCAGATCTGAAGCGTGACTGAGAGGATCTGTTGCCCAGACGCGGAGTGATGGAAATAACCAGCGTGGTTATCTCCTGAAGGTTTGAATTGAGGGTTTAGAGGGCTGGTAAGCCTGGGGACTCGATACAAAGTCTGGTGAGCACAATGACTGAGTAATGAATGAAACGCCGGCACTTTCTTAAGTAGTGTCGGCGTGATGACGTCAGCCGCCACGTTGGTGGCGGGAATGATGGGACAGAAGTCAGCGGGATGAGTTCGTGACAGAGAGAAACCTTACACACACAAGCACGTGTATGCACACACATTCTCACATGGTGCTCTCGTGAATATGGACTTGGGCAATTTTAACACATTACCTAAGGCTGTGGTTGGCACTAAATGAATTATTACCGTGTGCTTTTCAGCAAAAGCCGTTATTGTTATATATCCTCATGCAGTTGGCACATGGATGTTTTAGTTCTGTTGAATATTTGTGTCCCACTTATTTTTCTCTCTTTTTCTGCAGAAGCGGATTCTTCTACATTCTTTAATGTTTATTTTTGTGAACTCTTTCTTCCCCCACCTCTTCCTTTCTTCCCCCCCTTTCGTTTTCGTTTCTGTCTCCGTGTCCGTTAGGTTTTAAAACAACAGAAAATATTTATAAGAAAGTTTTGGAATCAGGCAAGGCAATATAGCAGAAGCTAGAACGCTCCACCCGTGAGAGTAAAACTGTAAGACATCAAATCTGATTGCTTTAAAGCCAGACAGGACACAGAGAATAAAACAACTTTAAATGCTGTAAAAGTCTCTTATTTATTTCTGCTGAAGGCTTTAGCACAATAACAGATGGAGAAACCGTAGGTCACAGATGATAATGCTTAAAACACAACTTTACTCATATTTTTAATACAATAGCAGTGGCCTCTACTAGCAATGAATGCATTTTAAAAGATTTCCTGGGAGAAAAAGCTCCAGTGCGCCTGTTTGAGGAAGTACAAATCAGCTGGAGGAGAAGATAGAGGACCACGGCAGCATTTGGAGTTTTATTTCCTGATATTAGGACATCTACCCTCTGGAAAACAGCAATGTGACTCTACCACCGACTCTGTTTCCCCTGCAACGTTGATGTTTTATCTCCACGAACAACACAAGCCTGGAGAAGTTCTGCTGTGTGGTGGAGTTGCTAATGTTAACGTTTAGCTTCCATTAGTCGACAACGTCCTCTACGATTTCCTGGACGCTAAACCAACAACAGACTTAGCTGTCGTGAGACAAGATGGGTGAGTCCATGAATGTGGTGACAGTGTGATGTAGATCTGTCAGGATTTTCTAATCCTAGAGTTTCACTGTCTATTTTCTATCAGAAACTAAAGAAGGAGATAGGTGTAGGGGACTATTTTCATGTTCAGCCTGCATTAAAAATTCAGTGACCCATTATAATCAGAAATGATAATAAAAATATGCTTTTTCAGTGAACCTGCACTTAAAGACAGTGTGTGTTGATGTTCACCACCAAACCAACACACCAAAGGAACTGTAGAATCAACACAGATGATCTATTAATCAATTAAAAGTAGTTTTGTTACCTTCTAACTGAAGATGTACCGATCCGTTTTCTTGACCAGGCCCCATCTAATTAACTTAAATAATTCTAGCGAACAGCATCTAAACCAGGGGTCTCGAACCTTTTTTGGCCCGTGAGCTACTTTTACACAATAACAGTATCGAAGAGCTACCGCCGTACGATTTATTCACATTGATACTTTCCTTGTGTGAATATGCTTACTATGTTAAAAATGCTATGCTCACTATATTAACATGCATTGTATTCACTAGTAGACTTCTTAGTATTTCAATACATCAATATTATAAAAACGTACAAGGGAAATAGTAAAATTCTGAAAATCCAACTAAACAAAACATTTTGTTTCTTAACTAATCCGATACTTTCAGACACTGAAAAATAAATCTACTTGGTGTGAATGATTTGACATCTTTTTTAGAATGGATCAGTATCATAACCTTTTGAGCACTTTTTCAGCCCCGACCCTGAGCCTAAGCAGCCATGTCAGTTTTTTCATAGTTTTCAGCTAAATTGTCATAAATGAGCAAAAACTTCAAAAAACTATTAAAAATTTTTTAAAATTGCATTAAACACAAAACCTTTCAAGTAATTATATTGTTATGATTTTTTCCCAAACAAAATACAAATTAAATGCGATGAAAACAATAGATAGTCTGAACTTAAGTAAACAATGTAAAACCAAAAATAAAGATTCTACATGCATTCCTGAATCTTTTTGATTGGTTTTTAGCTCGTGAAAATTAAGTTTTACTTCAATACCTGCTGGTAAAATGATGCTTTGCTTTGTTTTTTTGTTGACAATATTTAAATAAGGTTGGAGACAGACAGACAGACAGACAGACAGACAGATGATAGATAGATAGATAGATAGATAGATAGATAGATAGATAGATAGATAGATAGATAGATAGATAGATAGATAGATAGATAGATAGATAGATAGATAGACAGATAGATAGATAGATAGACAGATAGACAGATAGATAGGTATAGATTTATTACTAAAAGACAAAATCAGCTAAAACTGTTTAAGGATATTTGTTAATACTACATCACAGATGTCCAGAATTTGAAGCCTGTGTTCATCATGTGTTCATAAACGAACAGCATTTAATTTGCGTTAATGACCTGTTACCGTGGCTTAGACTTTACTGATGCCCAGATTATCTTCCAGAGGAAGTTTTTCTGAAACCAGGTCTGTAACTGACCTCACCCCGTCTTATTTAGAAGCAGATCTTCACCCACCTGCAGCCACTGAGATCAGAAACGGGGATCCATGCTACAACCTGCACAGTTGATCCGAATATTTCCTGTAGTACATATTTGCCAAAAGATTTGTACAATAATCAGATTTTTATTTTACTTCCACAAATGATAATTTTAGATTAGATATCACAGAAAACAGGGAAGGCTTGCCATAGTTAATTACAAGTCAGATGGCTCGCTGGCTGCTTCCAGGCGAGTGACTTTTGAGCGACGTGTTGGGAGACCCCCGATTTAAACCAACTCCTTTCAAAGTCGTGGAGAGTTATTATTATTAATATTATTGTTATTTAATTTTTGAATGTAATTAATTTATTTAGTGCTTCTTTACAAGGCACCCAAAGCTCTTTACAGTGAATCCATTCATCATTATTTAAACTGAAGAAATAAACATTTTCTGTAAAACAGCACCTGGCTGCAGAGACGATTAGCTGCCCAAGCGTGTCTGATTCACTAACCAATAAATCGATGCATCTCTAATTCTGATCAATAAAGGTGAAAAAGAAGAAAGTCGCAACACACCGTCCCTCTCACTTGTGGTTTCTTGGGCTCCGGAGACATCTCCTGAGGAATAAACTTGATTGGTCCTTTTATCTGCCTCCTAGATCTCTTGGTACCATCGGGTAATGTCTCCATGGCAATGTCAGCCTCATCGCTGCTGGCCTGGTCACACTCTGAGCATTGCCTGAGAAGAGCAAAGAGAACCACATAGTTACGGCTAAAACCCCAAGCTGAGCAGAACAGTAAAATGCTCATAAATGTGTTTCTAATTTGCTGTGAGGCTGAGTTTAACGTAAACTCCAGATCCTCTTAGGAAGGGGACGATCTCAGCTGTTAGTCTTCTGAGGCTGGCAGAAAAACCATACAGGTGCTGGCCAGTAAATTAGAATATCATCAAAAGGTTGAAAATATTTCAGTAATTCCATTCAAAACGTGAAACTTGTACATTATATTCATGCAATGCACACAGACCAATGTATTTCCAATGTTCATTACATTTAAATTTGATATTCATAAGTGACAACTAATGAAAACTCCAAATTTGGTATCTCAAAAAATTAGAATATTCTGAAAAGGCTGAATATAGAAGACACCTGCTGCCACTCTAATCAGCTGATTTACTCAAAACACCTGCAAAGGCCTTTAAAAGGTCCCTCAGTCTTGTTTTGAAGGCACCACAATCATGGGGAAGACTTCTGACTTAACAGCTGTCCAAAAGACAATCATTGACACCTTGCACAAGGAGGGCAAGACACAAAAGGTGATTGCTAAAGAAGCTGGCTGTTCGCAGAGCTCTGTGTCCAAGCACATTAACAGACAGGCGAAGGGACGGAAAAAATGTGGTAGAAAAAAGTGTACAAGCTCTAGGGATAACCGCACCCTGCAGAGAATTGTGACGACAAACCCATTCAAAAATGTGGGGGAGATCCACAAAGAGTGGACTGCAGCTGGAGTCAGCGCTTCAAGAACCACCACGAGGAGACTCATGAAAGACATGGGATTCAGGTGTCGCATTCCGTGTGTCAAGCCACTCTTGAACAAGAAACAGCGCAAGAAGCGTCTCGCCTGGGCCAAGGACAAAAAGGACTGGACTGATGCTGAGTGGTCCAAAGTTATGTTTTCTGATGAAAGCAAGTTCTGCATTTCCTTTGGAAATCAAGGACCCAGAGTCTGGAGGAAGAGCGGAGAAGCACAGAATCCACGTTGCATGAGGTCCAGTGTAAAGTTTCCACCGTCAGTGATGGTGTGGGGTGCCGTGTCATCTGCCGGTGTTGGCCCACTCTGTTTCCTGAGGTCCAGGGTCAATGCAGCCGTCTACCAGGAAGTTTTAGAGCACTTCATGCTTCCTGCTGCTGACCAACTTTATGGGGATGCAGACTTCACCTTTCAACAGGACTTGGCACCTGCACACAGTGCCAAAACCACCAGCACCTGGTTCAAGGACCATGGTATCCCTGTCCTTGATTGGCCAGCAAACTCGCCTGACCTTAACCCCATAGAAAATCTATGGGGTATTGTGAAGCGGAGGATGCAATACGCTAGACCCAACAATGCAGAGGAGCTGAAGACGACTATCAGAGCAACCTGGGCTCTCATAACACCTGAGCAGTGCCACAGACTGATCGAGTCCATGCCACGCCGCATTACTGCAGTTATTGAGGCAAAAGGAGCCCCGACTAAGTATTGAGTGCTATACATGCACATTCTTTTCATGTTCATTCTTTTCAGTTGGCCAACATTAGAGAAACAAACATTTTTTCATTGGCCTTTAGAATATTCTAATTTTCTGAGATACCAGATTTGATGTTTTCATTGGTTGTCACCTATAAATATCAAAATTAAACGTAATGAACATTGGAAATACATTGGTCTGTGTGCATTGCATGAATATAATGTACAAGTTTCACGTTTTGAATGGAATTACTGAAATATTTTCAACTTTTTGATGATATTCTAATTTACTGGCCAGCACCTGTAGTTTGGAGAAACAGAAACAGTATGGTTTCCCCAGGTTTTAACACCCCAAATTTACTACCTTTTCTGGATAACATACATGAAAATCAAGACGCTTATTTCGATATGACATAAAACACTGAATCAAATCCCAATAATAACGTCGTCATCGTCTTCCTCCGCTTATCTGAGTCTGGGTCGCGGGGGCAGCATCCCAACTAGGGAGCTCCAGACTGTCCTCTCCCCAGCCACCTTAACCAGTTCCTCCGGCGGGACTCCCAAGGCGTTCCCGGGCCATATTGGAGATGTAACCTCTCCAACGTGTCCTGGGTCGACCCGGGGGCCTCCTGCTGGCAGGACATGCCCAAAACACCTGCCCAGGGAGGCGTGCAGGAGGTATCCTGCCCAGATGACCAAACCACCTCAACTGACTCCTTTCGATCCGGAGGAGCAGCGGTTCTACTCCGAGTCTCTCCCGAATGTGCGAGCTCCTCACCCTATCTGTAAGGCTGAGCCCGGCCACCCTACAGAGGAAACTCATTTGGGCCGCTTGTATTCGCGATCTCGTTCTTTCGGTCATTACCCAAAGCTCATGACCATAGGTGAGGACTGGGACGTAGATCGACTGGTAAATCGAGAGCATGGCTTTCTGGCTCAGCTACCTCTTCACCACAACAGATCGGCTCAGTGTCCGCATCACTGCAGACGCCGAACCAATCCGCCTGTCGATCTCCCGATCCCTCCTACCCTCACTCGTGAACAAGACCCCGAGATACTTAAACTCCTCCACTTGAGGTAGGACCTCTCTCCCGACCCGGAGTTGGCAAGCCACCCTTTCCCTTCGAGAACCATGGTCTCAGATTCGGAGGTGCTGATCCTCATCCCAGCCGCTTCACACTTGGCCACGAACCTACCCAGCAAGAGCTGAAGATCAGAGCTGGATGAAGCTAGAAGGACCAAATCATCCGCAAAATACAGAGACGAGATTCTCCTGCCACAAACTCGACACACTCCACACCACGGCTGCGCCTAGAAATTCTGTCCATAAAGGTTATGAACAGAACCGGTGACAAAGGGCAGCCAACCCTCACCGGGAACAGGTCCGACTTACTACCGGCTATGCGGACCAAACTCACGCCCCTCTGGTAAAGGGACTGAATGGCCCTTAACAGAAAGCCACCCACCCCATACTCCTGGAGCATGCCCCACAGGGTGCCCCTGGGGACACGGTCATAAGCCTTCTCCAAATCCACAAAACACATGTGGATTGGTTGGGCAGACTCCCATGCTCCCTCCATCACCCTTGCAAGGGTATAGAGCTGGTCCACAGTTCCACGGCCAGGACGAAAACCACATTGCTCCTCCTCAATCTGAGATTCAACTATCGATCGGACCCTCCACTCCAGTACCTTGGAGTAGACCCTTCCAGGGAGGCTGAGGAGTGTGATCCCCCTAGAGTTGGAACACACCCTCCGGTCACCCTTCTTAAAGATGGGGACCACCACCCCGGTCTGCCACTCCCCAGGAACTGCCCACGATGACCACGCAATGTTGCAGAGACGTGTCAACCATGACAGCCCTACCACATCCATAGCCTTGAGATACCCAGGACGAATCTCATCCATCCCCCGGGACTCCGCCGCTGTGTAGTTGTTTGACTACCTCAGCAACTTCTGCCCCAGAGATTGGACAGTCCATCCCCAGGTCTCCAAGCTCTGGCTCCTCCTCGGAATGCGCGTGGGTGGGATTGAGGAGCTCCTCAAAGTATTCCTTCCACCGCCCGACTATAGCCCCAGTTGATGTCAGCAGCTCCCCATCCCCACTGTAAACAGTGTGAGCGAGTTGCTGCCTCCCTCTCCTGAGGCGCCGAACAGTTTGCCAGAACCTCTTTGGCACAGATTGATAGTCTTTCTCCATGGCCTCACCAAACTCCTCCCACGCCCGAGATTTTGCCTCGGCAACTGCCACTGCTGCACCCCGCTTGGCTATCCGGTAGGGTTGTCACGGTAACCGGTATAGCGGTAAACCCCGGTAAAAAAGTTGACAATAAAAATAACCGTCCAGTTTTTAAAAAACTATATTATCTCGGTGGGTTTACCGTGGCCGCGGTTTCGGCGCGATGACCCTTACCAGCCACCGTCGCTTCAGCTGAAGTTCCCGCTGCGCGCACACGCACTTTTTAATTTGCAACGGCACCAAAACTTTGAAGCTGAAATAATGGCTGAAGGAGGCGACGGCAGCGCCCAGGACATCCATCAGCCCTCAAAGAAGACTAAATCGGAAGTATGGGCATATTTTGGATTTCTGAAAAACGCTGAGGGACAGTTAATAGAAGACGGCTATCCCGTTTGCAGAACGTGCAGGAAACAAGTGTCTGCAGAAGGCAGCAACACTTCAAATCTCATGGCACATCTGCGTGACGATCACCCACGTCTCTACAGCCAGTGCAAGGTAAGTTAACATTAGCATTTTAGCTGAAATGCATGACGTGAGGTCTTTTGGTTGAGGGAGAATGCAACGAGTCACTATATACTGCAGCCGCAGCGTCCTCTGCCAGCATTTAAACCGTGTCACGGACACCCTGTTGCTGGATGAAGCATCTTATTTGTTGATGATGAAGAGAAATATACAATTAGTTCCTTGACATGGATTTGTTTACTTATTCAATGCCATTTATACTTGAACATTTGGATTTGATTACATAGTGTAGTAGTTATTTTAGTCATTTGTTTAAAGTGGATATTTATTTTAAATACATATTTTTTAAGGTTGACTTGTACAGTGCTCAAGTCAAGTGTGGACTGGAGTTTTAGATTTTCATTTTGATAATGAAGAAAACAAGTATATGAGAAAACAAGTGGTGTTTCTTTGATTTGTTTACATATTGTTTATGTTTTGAATGTTTGGATTTGTATAATTTAAACCTGCACTGACTACTGTAACAAGTTCCAGAAAAATAAGCTATTTGTTCCTTTACTTGTGAAAAGTTGCACTTTTGCTAAGGCTTTGTGTTATTTTAGGTTTAATAAACACTGTTAAACCTTTTCAGAACTATTTCAGTGTGTGTAGAACAGGACTATCAATGCTTTCTGAACATATGCAACACCGTTTAAAAAATACCGCGATAATACCGAAAACCGTGATAATTTTGGTCACAATAACCGTGAGGTTAAATTTTCATACCGTGACAACCCTACTATCCGGTACCCGTCTGCTGCCTCCGGAGACCCA